TATAATTCCACGGGTTTAGCAGTTGTTATCGCTGCCAACCCTTCAATATCACCCACTTTAGCCAGGAGTTTCGACACGCACTCACTGGCCGCATCTTGTATCTGGTCTCCACTGTTCCTAGCGACGTTAGTATCAACTTTTGTCTGACATCAGAATCTACTGTTAAAATGCGTTACACCTCCATTCTACCTAGCGTTTATCTGCGTCAGTTCCATTCTCAGCCTCCGAATAGGCCTAGAAACACTTCAAGCTAACTCGCAATTCACCTTAAGATTGAGCGCCACTGTCTATTTACACATGCGTGTGCTATGAGTGGATCAGGCAGCTCTCGACTTCCTGGCCTGCTTGTGGCTTATCTTTGTGCCGGATCTGTTTTTGCATGCGTACAAGTGCTGGTAAGGCGCTCTATTTTGGTGGGTTGAGGTATTCCAGTGCGTGGTGCGCATGGTAAGTATTGACTTGCGGTTTACTGTAGCGACGAGACTGGACCTTAACGTGGTGCGACGGTTTGCGTACCTCCTTGACCCATTGAGCTATACTGAGTGGTTCCTCCGGGCGCTTTGAGAGCTACTCCCACCAGGGTGGTCAATGCTTAGCGGTCAGACAAAAGCAGGCTCCTAGTCCTCCAGGTAGGGGGTTTGAAATGGGATAGCGTCCATTATTGTAAAACTAAATCATTGCCACCTCGCCGCTGTCTTGTGGACAAGCTTTTGAGCCAAAGGCTTTGGTTGAGATCCTAATAGTCCTCCTATTTAGGACTGGACGCCCTTACAGTATCTCATGACAATTTCCCAAAACTCTACCTACCTTCCGCATCGGCCGTCGCGCAGATTATTAAGCGTCGCCTTATCTGCTGCATACAGCAGGAAGGATAAGCGAAAACATGCTACTACTGGCGACTCCCTTCTTTCTTTTTCACCTGTCTCTATTACTCCCCCATTACTAATCTTCCTTTTATAATTCCCAGCTTAATTGACACCAACGGAACTGCCACTGGAGTAGAACCGTCTGCAGACACCTTCCCACAACACCCATCGGATGCCTATCGACAACAGCCCTTTATAAGGCCACGCTGTTCCGTTTCCCTGGTGGCGTTCAACGTTCGCACTCTGAGACAAATATATCAACTGGCTGCACTCGTACGTACGTTGGACGCACTGGATAATTACGTTTGTTGTGTTTTCGAAAGTAGGATCAACGACCCTAATAGGATTGTTGAATTAACTGCGCCCGGCCTGTCCTCTCGCTATTGGCTGCACGCATCCGGAGATGCCGATGCACCACTCACGGGTCAAGCTGGCATAGCCATCATTCTAAGATCCAAAGCTGAGCCGTCATTGGTTGCTTGTATTCCAGTAAACAGCCGTCTGTGTGCAGCTCGTTTGACGACATCGATCAAGGTTGCTTCACGAAGTAGTACAAAATGCTGCGTGTTTGTGATTTCCGCTTATGCTCCCACCGACTGCAGTTCTAATGCTAACATAGGCACATTCTATCACGAACCCAACGCACTACTATGTAGTGCTACTAGTTCAAATATTATAGTACATGCAGGGGATATAAACGCACAAGTAGGGTGTCTGAGCTCTTCAGAAGCTCAGCTGGGTGGTAATTATGGGCTTAACGCCGAAGGGACTGACAGCGATGAGCGTCTGCCCCAACTGTGGGTGGCGCACCAGTTGTCCCTTAGTAGCACTGCTTTTAGATACAATGGGTGCCGAAGTGCCACTTGGCATCCTCCTATAGCTGGCCAGCGAAGGACTCAAATTGATCACATTGCCATAAGTTACAGGTGGCGTAGTTCCATCTTGGATTGCTGTTCGTACTGGAATACCTGCGTCGACTTTGATTATACCTTGGTACGCTGTCGTTTCTCCATGAGCTTTACGGAGAGGCGCACCAAGCGTCTTCTCCGATTGGCAGCTGTGCAATTATCACAGCCCTCGGTCAGGCATGTCTATCAAGATGCGCTGCTTACCGAACTTTCGCTGTCTTGTCTTAATCACACTGAGCCTCCGTGGAATAGGGTCGCGGCAGTCATGCACAAAGTAGAAGCATTTGCTAGTGACACTATCAATCGTCACCGCACTAGTCACTGAATATCCGAGAGGTCGGTGAACCTGTTGGAATCTAGAAGACACCTCCCTGCTGGCTCTGAGCACAATGTGACCAGACTGGCTATTAGGCGCGAACTAAAGCGGAGCCTGTGTGCTGACAAAAAAGCCTGGTGGACCAGTAGGGCTCAAGCAATGGAGCAGGCATGAGCAGTTGACAATTTCCACAAGCTCTTCCAGCTGATCCGCACCACTGGTCTCAGGAAACCAGGTGTCAGTGAAACAATCAAAGAGAGCGCGGGTGCACGGATACACTATACGGAGCGCCGGAACACTTTCAAGATCCGTTCCGTTGGCCACTGATCCCCGACATTTTTCTACCCAAGTGATCTAGGATGAGCCATGGACCGTTAGTTTAGAGCCTCCGTCGGACCACAGTCCTCAATCGTTTTTGTGCTGCAGGCCCGGATCTCCTCCCACCTGCACTATATAAGGATGAAGTTGAGGTCCTCTACAAAGCACTGGCCTCTCTATTCGAACATATCTGGAAGGAAGTGTCCCGGCTAACTGGAGTGAATCAATTATGGTGGCATTGTACAAAAAGCGCAGTCGCACAGATTGTGCTAACCCCAAGGGTATTATCCTTACGTCAGTTGTGACAAAGTTAATGATCTCGATTCTCGTTCGTCGCCACACTGCGGAAGGGGAATTTCGGATTTGGGAAGAGCAGGCAGGTTTCCACCCAGGACTTGGCTGTATTGACCATATTATTCACTCTACGGCAAGTGCTACAGCAGCGTCACGCTTACCGCAGGCGGACAACAGCTGTGTTCCTTGATTTCATGAGTGTGTTCGATTCAGTCGATCAATCAATTCTGTTCGAAATACTTGCACGGAAAGCTGTTCCCATAAAATAAGTAAATATCTTACGTACTCTATACTCGAACACTACAGACCGCGTTCGGGTCTACTGTGGCCTGTCGGATAGTTTTCCAACAACAAGTGGCATTCGTCAGGGTTGTCCGCTTTCCCCATTTTTGTTCAATTTCTTCGTGGATTCTATCATGGAGTGTTCCCTTGCGGAATCTCACGATGTAAGCTTTGAGGCCTGCCTGGTGAAAGCTTGGTTGATCTTGATTATGCGGACGGTATCGTCTTGCTTTTTGACGATGGCGACCCAAGCATCCCTGAATAGTTTGTCTAGAGTGGTCCCATTATTTGGTGTACGCTTCGCACCTTCAAAGGGCGAAGTGTTGTTGAAAGACCACCAGCCACTTTCTGAACCCTTAACCTTTGATTACGAGGAACTCGAGCTGGTTGATCAATTCACTTATCTTGGCAGCTGCATCCGCAACGATGGGCTCATAGAAACTGACGTATGCTCACGTATTGCAAAGGCCAGAACTGCCTTCTTGTATCTGCCGCATCTATGACGACAGAAGGGAATTCCCCTCCGTCTGAAAGCCCGTGTAAACAAAGCCACAGTGAGGGCCGTTCTGCTCTATGGTAGCGAGGCTTGGCCTCTTCGGTCTGAAGATCTGAAGCGCCTTCAACTCTTTGATAATCGTTGTCTGCGAAGCATTGCTGGTGTTGGAGGGCACCAGCGTGTCCGAAACGATGATGTGCGTAGGCGAGTACTAGGTGGTGATAATCATGCTAGCTCCCTAGAACAACAGATAGCACTGAATAAGTTGCGTTGGCTCGGGCATGTGCTAGTTATGCCTGGTCATCGCTTACCTAGGAGGTCCTTGTTCAGTCTACCAGATGTAGCCTGGCACAAAACTCGAGGCGAACAGAAGTTGGCTTGGAAGCGAGACATCAAATCACTGACGATCAAACTAGTTGCGGTCGGTCTCGCCTTCCGAGCTGGATTCTGCGTGACTCACCTTGTGCTTGGTTCGGGACTTTACAGGACTTGGCGCGCAACCGACACCAGTAGCGCGTCTGCTGCTGTCTCTTAATCGGATTGCCTATGTAAAGTGTGTTTGATGCTGAGTTATCTGCGGGGTAATGACTGATTATGACACGGGGCAGTGAAAGACGCAAGGTAGCTGTCTCGCTGATGCCGCCTTATCTTTATACAATAGCCAGCTGTTTGTGAGGGTATGTTGTTGAAAAGGCGCCTTGTTCCTGTTTGTTTGCTTAGGGCATTAAGGTTTTCCGGTAATTCCCCATTCTCTCCCTCTTATTATTCTTTATTTCATAGGTCATCATGGTTGTATGGCAGTGAAGCATCAGTCCTACTGACTGATGTACTGCTTTTGTTGATGTTGATGTTAATGCCTGTTCACACAAGGATTACTCCAAATACACCAACAGCCCAGCCCACATTGCGTTGTTCTATAGGACGTGTGAATCATCGCACTGACTTATCCTCTTAAAGGTACCGTCACCCAATTTCCATCAGCATCGGCTACGGTACTGGTGATCGCAATGACCAAGGTTCACCTCAATGTGAATCGCGGTCTACATTGAGATTGTGCGTCGCAATCCAATCACACAACGTGTAATACAAAGGTGACCCTCCAATTTGTCATTCACGGTTGTGACAAGCGTAGCCCACCGGGGTCCGGTAGCCAAAGGCGTAGAGGTTTCGGCTACTATTCCACTGGTTGCGGGTGCGAGGCCTGCTATCTCTACCTGACGGGATGTAATGACATCGAAACGCCTCATGGTTGTGTAGTGTTTTCTGGCGGGCAACACGCAAGTTCCATTCCTGTAGTATTTTCGGTGTTCAGATTTGTCTCGCAGCTACCATTTGTTAAACTTTTCGATCTTCCTTCTCCCACTTCTTTCCATGAATATGTTTATGTCATTATGTAGCGAGGAATATACCCTTTGTTCTCACCATCTACCTGACGTACACCAATATCTGCACGCACACCCTGGTGACACAGTGGAGCTAACCTTTTGCATCATGCTCTCATGTTAACTTCCTACTTTCAGAACCACAGCAGACCTATACGCTGGATTTTTCACCTGATGGCAGTGAACTTGCCACAGCTGGCGTTGACCGAAAAATACGTATTTACACTCTTCATCCTGGAACCGTGATAGGACTTCCGTCGGAGTTGAAGGACCCTTGTGACTGGGGCACTGTCAACCGGTGTGAGTCTAACCCTATGACCTTTACACCTAATTTTGACATTTTTATTTCGGTTCTTTCCAACACTTGTTGTAAGGAAGAATTTGAATCAAGTTCATAGGATATTCAGCTCAATGACTCCACATCAAACCGTCACCACATACGCAAAAAAGTGTTGGACATTTATCATGCCTCCACAGGTGTTATCAGCATCGTGCATTCTCGTTGGCCGATTAGGAGCCGTAGCTTCGACCCTCCTCATTCGATGCAATGATTACCGCTACTTGGCAATGGGGGATGGCGCTATCCACAGTGGTCATGCAGTTATCCGCGATATAGCGCGTTGGATCATCTCCTAATGTTATGCATCAACCTTCGCAACTACCACAGTAACTGCTCCACGTGGGTATAAAAAGTCACTTGTTTGTACGGAAGATATCACACTCATATCCAATCTGATGCTCACTGGCCACTTCAAGAGTGCACTTAACTGCCATCGTCTCCTTTCGGTCCCCTTTTTAGTCATGGATAGTGGAAGGTGCGTTACACTGTAACCTGCTTAAATACCGAGTTACTTCGACTATGGCATGCACTTTCCCAAGGAAGTAGTAAGGGGAGTTGAATAGTATAAAAAGCATTTAATCAAATATAAATCCAGTCAGACAGCTTCCACATGCTCAGAAGAGCACTGTAAGGCTGATGGGGGGGCACCATTTTGCGACACTCGTTGAATGAATGGATTGCGACGCGCAATCTCACATTAGATAGCTATTCAAATTGCAGGGAATCTTGATCAACTCGGGCACCTAGACGGTAACTGATGAAATAGCTGAATGTTAAGTGTTTTCCAGTGGCTAAAGGAGTAGAGGTTCCAATTAACCTCCCAAAGGTCCCGAGTTCGATGCCTACTATCTCCATCTGCTGAGTGCAAACAAGCTCGAAACGCGTAGTGGTGTGCAGTGTGTCTTCGATTAGCCAAAATGCAGTATGCATCTATTTCACTGCGCAGCTTCTCCATCTCTTCGGGAACCGTCAACATTGCGCGCTTCATCCGTGTAGTGTACCTGGAAACACACTTTTTCCGTATTTCGCAACATTAGATTTTACTTCTGTTTTAACCTTCAAAACGTCCACTTGTTTTATTGACGGCACCTCCGTTGACACAAATTGCTTTGGTGAGTGCCTTTCAGCACCGTTTTTCGCTCCTGTTTATTCGTTTCCTATTTTTGTAGCCTACACAATACACGTTGGGTTCAGTCGCCCCCAACTTCTATACTATCCCGTAGTTGACACTAATATTACGTGTCATCGATTACCGACTAATATCCCAGGCGCCATCCAACATCTGCCCAATGTGGGGCTGGAACCCACAACCGGACTGTTACCAATTCGTGGTAAAGAACTCTTGGTTGCGAGAGATGCCGACGACCGATGTGACTAAATTACTGGATGTGATATAACGCTGATAACTCCCAAAGTGAGGGAACAGCTGTACGGTGCTTTTGAGCCCAGATGTAATGAACTACGTATAGTACACACTATTACCTGGTGACTAGAACCTTCGCTAAAATGGTGGCTCAGCCCCTACCATTATCACGGTGAGTTCACAAGCGCGTTTCACTTTATCGTCACAAATTTTCCGTACTTATGTAATTCACGTAACTCATCCCATGGGACCTAACAACCATACCGTAGTTCCACCACTCAGCTCTCTACTCACAAAAAGAGGAGCAGATCGCCCAGGGCTCTTCCGAGTGTACGGTGATCATCTAACTTTGAAGACTTACCTTTATTCCGCTGGAAACCTCTACTTTACCTAATCGAAGTGCTCAGTTACAGTGTCATTACTTTACCCTTACTTTTCTTTTCTGTCTAATCGTAACTGTGGAAAAGTGGGAGACAGAAGACGGACTGCAATCCCTCCCGCTTCTTTTCCGGATAACTATCAGCCGGTACTCGGTCTATCGATCTCGTTGAGTATTGAGTTGCTTCCGGTGAATTTTGTTGTGCTTGAGAGAACAGCTGGTAGTGGGCATCGGTACGAAGGTATCTAAACTAAGTTAAGACGTTTTGATTTTACATAGTCAACACATTTTGATGACAACTTTTTGCTTAACAATATCGATTAATTAACCTTATCTGAATTCAATTTACGCTGCTTTACGTTGTGCAACCATCCTAGTTTCAACAAGCCACAAACGCTCAGCTCGATTACATCCTTCGTCGAAGCCAGAACCTATTGCGCAAATATCTTGGATAGTATCTATCTGCATTTGCTCATGCAGCTGCACCTGGGCATGTCAAGAAGGTCCGTTTTCTTTAATATTTTGCGAGAGCGGTCTGGACCATACACTTTCTACTTTTGAAGGCATTTCAATCGTTTCACCTTCTTCTGCATACTCTATACGTTGCGTTTCACCGATATGTTGGTTACTAGCTAGAGAACAGTGCCATCCTACGAAAGACAACCGACTGTCATCCACATTTTATTTCTGTTGCCAACTCCGCGTTCAGAAACTACCGTCTAGTTCCCAACTGTGATTGCCTTCATGGTGAGACGCGTGCATGGACTCGATGGCTTGTTCACAAAGAACCGTGTTGTCTTTTCTCATTTATTTCACAAAAGTTTGCATTTCGTGAACAGGCAACAGCGATTTGACTATGATATGATGAATATTTGTGTGATCTATACTCTCCGCTTTGTGGAATCTTCGCGCTGCTTCTTCGTCTACTTTTCCATTTCACCCGTCTTAGCATTACAAAGGTTGTTGCCGGATGATTTAATTCGAACGACGGGGAAATATCGTTCACATGCAGTTTTCCTGTTACCCTCAGAGCTTCTGCAAACATGTCTAGCTTCGACTGACATCGTATCTACTGAATGGTTACACATTCTCACCCATTTCTCACTTCTCTTTGCTACAGACACTGGGAGCACTATTATTGGTCGGCGAATTCAGGCTATGATAGACGCAACGCGAGATGAACTCCCCAACTCCACTCGCTTTCACTTTCCTGGTGGTAGACCAGATCAAATTGTCGATCTGACTGTCAAACCGTACACGCTCACTCGTTGCTACGGCACTCCGGATTTGTTGGATCCTCCGGATTTGCCGGAACCTGCCGGATACGTCAGCGATCCCCGTCTGGCCCCTCCACTACGTGAGTATGTGCCCAGTTCCCCTGGAGTCAACCTCACGGAGGGTCATTCGAAACGAATCATGGCATTACGGTTTCACCCCCAGAAATCGTCACTTCTATTCAGTGCTGGCTGGGATAACATCGTCAAAGTATGCATAACAATGGCGATTCTAAAATTTGAAACGGACTATGTTCCTTATTTCACTACTATCCTCGAATATTCGTTTCTCATTGTATGTACAACTTGTTTAAGTCTATACTAGCTATTCTGTTTGCTACACACTACCGTTAATGTGCCAAAAGTAGTATACTTTACTCAAGAAGTCGTTGCAAAGGGACGGGATCAGCGGTACATCGGTACTGCGTACCGAAGCTTCGTTACCGCGCACCCATCAACAGTCGCATGAGGGCTAAGGATACTATAAGGGTCGCCCGGTCCGCTACGCAGGCTCGAATTTGGGACTTCAGGAATACAAAGCTGGCTTGTGATCCTTAAGGCCACGGGCCGTTGCAAACGAGCGTGAGACGGCTTTCTGTTCGTCAGCCGAAGTCCTCTATTCACAGAAGTGCCCGTATGTTGTGTTTATTGTGGAATCACAGAGCTTTGGAATCAGCGCACGGTGTTTCGAAATGCAGCTCTCACAATGTGAGCTCTGTACTCTAATTTATCGCGTTGCTCCTTAGTTAGACGAAGTGTTTGTTTATCACAAATGAGCTACACAGCCCATTTCATTTGCAATAGGGCTACTACACAAAATGTCGCTGTGTTACCGATAAGCAGCCTTCTTCAGTCGAGAGCGGCATTTATGCCACAGCGTTACGGTTTCGTCGGCTTCTTCCATGTTGCTGGCGAATTTGACCCAGCTTTTATTGAATTAAATGCACTGTTTTCTCAGTAATTTCTTTTAAGTAGCTTACTTATGCCACTGGTTTTTGAGCCCTTTCCTGTGGAGATTAGTTATAACCATTTCCGTACTCGGCATTTGTTAATATTTCGTTCGTATTTGCGTCGCTACCTGTTTCTCCAATAAGTTCCCGCTGATTTTATAATGTTAGTTAATCTGATGCATAAAAATCCGGTGCTATGAATTTACAACTGTATCCAGCACTGACTGCGACGAACACTCTCCAGTCGGGCTACTGCATACCGAACATCTCGCATTGGGTCTCCTGAATTCACCTTGATTACCCATCCGTACGTTTAACTCTTTGATAATTTCGGGATATTTAAATTACTCTATTTTTGAAAGTACAATTAAGCGCTGAACAATCTGCGTCCTTTTGTCTTCAGGTGTGGGATACGCGCCTACAAAGTGGTCCAGTGTGGCAAATTTACGGACCACATGTGGCCAGCCCAGACGGTTTGGATGTAGATGACAACCATTTGTTGACCGCTTCTTGGCGCGCCACCAACAGTATCGAGGTAGGCCCACGATCACACTAATTGTTCAGCATCTTTCGTACTTATTTAGGCATCCGCTCCAACTGCCAAACTATGAAATGCGGCGCATTTCACTTTCGATCTTATTTCACTGCATCGGTCAGCTCTTTTCGTTTTGTAATCCGCTTCTTAACGGTGTCATTTTCATCAATTGATTAGGATCTTGGCCTTTCGGGAGACACAAATGCTTGTTTTATCGTTTGCCTTTGGGTTAACGCTTTACATGATTATATATCAAGTTGGTGTTAAACTCTGCGTTGATGTTTGTTGTGTATGTAAAGTCAATTGCACGAACCGAAGTAAGAAGGTCGCTCCGATAAACAAACGACTGTAATCTGACAAGTGTCTACCTACGTGAGTACATTAAGGTGTCGCAAAAAGAAGGATGAACCAATAGGGAAGAAAAGAAATATGTATTTGTGTGGATATCTGGAGTTGTGTGCACGTGTCTGTCTAGACTAGCCGTCAAGCATGCTGACCGAATACACAGCACCACCTCTCCGCTTAATCATGTAATACGTCGAAATCATGCCGATTCGGTGGTCTTGGTTCTCGGCCCGTCCTGCGGAGCTGCATGCTTTACGTAGTTTCGTTAGTGAAGCTTAGTGCCACATGCTCCGTTCGTTTGATACTTGTGAATAATCTCCGGGCGTTGACTGTGCGGCCATCCTCCAACCGGTAAGTGCCTGGCCCACATGCGCGCGTTATTCTTATCGGATCTGGTAACGTGTGCTGTCCTTTTGATGCAGCGTTTACCTTCACGCGCAGGAATGTTCCTGGCTGGAGTGTAGTAGTAAGCTTTCGGTAAGTGGTCTGCCATCGATGGCAACGATCTAACGTCGTAACTATTGGTTACAGGAATCGAAAGTACGGCATTTGACTTTATCCGAAGTGCACGCCTAAGCATGAGTTAAGCTGGCGTTTTGTCTGTGGCTCAGTGGTGTGCGGTTCGGTAAGAAAACAGTGCCTGTAGAACTACATCCTCCCAACCTGTACCAGATAAGCGAATAGTTTGAATACTCTCTTCCAATGATCGATTAAACCGCTCTACGATGCCGTTTGCCGCTGGAGTATACTGAGTTGTACGTGTAAGATGGCGTGAAGTTGAAGGAACGAAAGAAACTTGTGGCTTCTAAACTGCGGGTATTGTCCGTAACTATCTCCTCTAGTATTCCGAAACAGGAAAACATGTATTTCAGCCATCGAATAATGCTGACAGTAGTCATCTCTCCACACAAATGGACTTCCGGCCATTTACTGTAAAAGCAGGTCGCCACCAAACAGTTCCTTTGATGCTAAGGCGCTGACCTCAATGGACCCATGATGTCAACTGCTATCTTGGCCTACGGTCGCATAGTATAGTCAGTGGTTGTATATGGGAAGAAACCGGCCTTGAACTCTTGTCTGCCCTTTAACATGAAGAGCAGTTATGAACAAGTTTTTGTATGTCGTATGACATTCTAGGCCACTAGAAACATGCGTCAACCTTGCGTTTCGTTCGAACGATACCAGGGTGGCTTTCATGAGCACATAGCATGATCTTTTGCATCATGCTCCGAGGAGCCACAAATTGTTCGCCGTGCATTAAACATCCATCTATAAATGAAAGTTCGTGACGCAACACGTAGTACGGACGAAACTAGCCTGTGGCCAGCCATTTAGCAGCAATCCCTGGACGCAGCAGTGTGTCGTTTTCCTGAGTCGCCTTCTAGACTTCTTCCTTAGTCAGGGCTGAGATTGGTTCATTACTCAGGGAAGACACCAGTAACCTCACATTATCATCCTCATTATTTTCAGTTTCGTTGAGTGGCAGCCGAGAGAGCCCATCCGCTGCCTGATTTTCAGGTTCGGGACAGAATTTAATTTGAAGATCGAATGTTAACAATCGTGTATACCAGCGATGTAGCCGAAGTGGCCTGATGCCGTTTGTTCCCCGAGTAGGTAAGCTAGTTAGCGCTGCGTGGTCTCGGAAGAGTGAAGTGTCTTCCGAACAAGAACAACTTCCACTTCGCACAGGCTTAAACGCAGGCAATGGCTTCTTTTTCGTCAACAGAGTAAGAAAGCTCTGCCGTCGACAATTTTCTGGAAGTATATGCAACAATTCTTTTATACCCATTTTGAATTTGAGATAGTATAGCACCCAACCCAATGTTTGAGACATCAGTGGAGACATTAGTGGAGCACCTCTCGTCGAAAATCGTCATAACTCATGTGGAAGCAATGCGGCGTTTTATCTCGTCAAATGCCTTTTGTTGGCGTGACCCCAAACAAATACACTTTTTTCCTTTGTCAATTCACGCAGTGACTCAGCATTGTTCATGGAATCCTGCAGGTAACTTAAGTTGTAAGAAAACATACCTATAAATATATATATATATACATATAAATATATATATATAAATATATATAATAGAGTTCTGTGGATAGGGAGCCTCGGTGATGGCACGTGCGTTGTCAAAACTCCGCTTCTTACAGTCAGTTGTTATAATCTTGCCCAGGGACTCGATTTCACTAGCATTAAATTTGCACTTCTCGAGGTTTAACCGGAGGTTAAGATTATGTAAGCGACGTAACACAGCATGCAGTCGTGAACCATGTTCCTCTGGAGTTCTACCGAACACACAAATGTCGTCCATATCTAATATTTGACCAGGTAAATTGGCGAATGAGTGAACCTTAAACTTCGATCAAGCTGTTGGGGGTGAACTCAAGTCAACTGGCAAGACTTTGTACTGAAAGAGTCCGTCCATATTAAAAATACGGTCAGCAGTCTTGACTCCTTACTTAGAGGCATGTGAAAGAAAGCCTTCCTAAGGTACAATTTTGAAAACAAGTCGAGTGCCGGTTAGTTTGACTAATAATTCATCCGCTGTTTGAAGCACAAAGTTTTCTATCACGATTTGACGATTTAGGGCCTGCAGATCATTGCATATTCTCATTGTACCGTCTTTCTTGAGGACTGTAACCATAGGGTGGGCCCATTCAGAACAATTTATGTGTTCAATGAAATCATTTGCAATCACTTGCCGTAATGCTGACGGAACAGCCTTTCTTCTGTCCAGAGGAATTGGACGTGGCTGAGCAATAGCTACCTGTTTGGCATCTTGCTTCAGACAAATACGGTGAACGGAGGAGGGAGTGCACCCTATTGTTTGTGCAAACAGTTTTGGGTACTGTATCTGTAGGTCTGCTAGCTTAACCGCCATGACACGCATGATCCATTGCAACCATATGGTTACGCTCCAGTAAGAGACGGTTATTTCCGTGGGTGACGTAGACAGCAGCTGATTTCACGGCCCCAATTTGCAAAACAATCAGCACGAATCCCCGTATTTCTACCGGAGCCTTCGTATAGCTGTCAAATCGATAGGCTGAAGGATGTATGTCATGTCATGTAGGTGAATGTCATAAAAACTATATACATATATATATATATATATATATATATATATATTATACACAATCTGTGGTACAGATATTGTGCCATCGGAATCATGGCCGAATAGGAAAACAATATGAATAATAAGAAAAGAGCAACAAGAACTGCTTTTTTTGTCTATTTTACCACTCACAGTTTTTGACATTTTTTCAGTTTGTTCTTTTTTAGGAGGAGGAAGAAGGGACACCGCAACAAACCGATGCACACGTCCGCCACTGACATCGATCTTGAGCCATAGCTTCCAAGGTCTTCAACCAGCAAGTATCCGCATCTCTCGGACCCCAACCAGGTAGTCGACAACAACCGGCCGAGGCCAACTGTTTTGTCAGCTTTTCCATGCGGCTTCTCCATGTTGTAGGCTGCCCACCAGACCGTCTCTTCCAGCCTTGTCCAGCAACCGCAAACAACGCACGACGGGGGTAACGCTGGACAGGCATGCGCAATACGTGTCCCAACCACCGCAGTTGATGCAGTGCGATGAGCTCCTCGAGCGAGTGGCTTCCACGTCCCAAGACACGCTGTCTAACTTCCACATTGCTTACGTGGTGCTGCCACCACACACGGGCAATGGACCGCAGACAGCGGTGCTTGAAGACGGATAGCCTGCGCAAGTCATCTTTACGAATGGGCCAGGTCTCGCATCCGTACAACAGTACAGCACGAACAGTTGCACAATAGACCCGCCCTTTGATGGAGAAACGAATGTCGTAGCGACGCTACAAGTGCTTCAGCCTAGAAAAAGCGAGGCGTGCTCTCGAGATGCGCATCGAAATCTCGTCTCCAACAGCCCGGCCAGCAGTGATGCAACTTCCCAAGTAGACAAAGCTCTCCACAACCTCTAGTGTCTCATCAGCAAGCGTGAGTGCAGGCAGAGGCACCTACCAGTCTTGGAAGAGAGCCTTGCATTTGGATGGCAAAAAGTACATACCGTACTTTGATGCTTCAATCGCCAAGCGGTTTAATGCAAGTTGGACGACCTGTGGATCGTCACCCAGCAAGATGATATCATCAGCATAGTCCAAATCAACAACTCGACTACCTGGGAGGAGCTCAACGCCAGCATTCAACGAATCGCCTAGAGCGTTCTTCAAGACATCCTCAATGGCAAAGTTGGATATGAACGGAGAGATAGGGCATCCTTGTCGAACTCCACTGGAGACCACAAAGGTAGGCGAAAGCTTGCCATAAGCCCTAACCCTGCCCGAGGTCAGACTATATAGAGCGCGCAGTATGGAGACGAACTTCTCGGGGACACCACTCCACAGTAGACAGTGCCACAGTACTGTACGATCGACAGAATCGAAGGCTGTAGGGATATCCAGGAACACAGCAATCGTTGGCCTCTGATACACATGGCGGAGCTCGAGGATCTGGCGAAGTGTGAAGATTTGATCGATCAGACGCGACCAGGGCGAAACCCAGCTTGTTCTTCTCGTTACAACGATTCGCAGCTTGCAAACGACGGGGACTAAACTTATTCCTCTGTAGTTGGAGCGGATTATGCGCAGGCCCTTTTTGAAGATGGGGACGACTATCGATTCACCCCAAGATGACGGAACTTTCTCTTTCGACCAAATTTTCGAGAACAGGGCGGTGAGTTCTCGAACCAGCGATGCGCCTCCATCTTTAAATGGAGCCGGAGGAAGACCATCAGGGCCTGGGGCTTTATAACGCTTCATGTGCCGGAGCTCCTGCTTGATTTCCTGGGAAGAGGGAGGGTCTGTGGGGGTAGACCACTCGGCCCCAGCGCAAGCGCCAAAGGTAGCAGATGGAGCTGGGGGCCAACAAAACTGCGAGCCAAAATGTTCGGCCCATCGCTGCAACCGTTTTTGAAGATTGATGATTAAGGTGCCATCCTCTTCGCATATTGTTTCACTTATACCAGATCGAACACCTTCGGTGACTCGAATGCGATGGAAGAGTTTTCTGGTATTACCAGAGAGACTAGCAAGCTCCATCTCCCTAGCACGTTCACACCACCAAGCTTCGCGGTCCATTTGCAGACTCCTGCGCAACTCTCGACCAAGGTACTGGCGTTCTTCACTGTGTCTGGAATCCGATGGGAGCAAGCGGCGCCTGTCCATCAGCGACAAGAAGTCGGCGGAAATCCAATGCTTCGGTGGGTGACGGGTAACTCCACAAGTGTCGATACTGGCGGAAACTAAAGCATCTTTGATATGCGCCCACTGCGAATCGAGATCACCGTCAATAGTTGAGCCAAGCAAGGTTGACAGTGAGGCTTTGTACCTGGTTAAAATCGCAGGGTTTTGTAGATTTGCGACGTCCGGTTGGTAGTGAGTGCTCTTGGGTGATCCTCCGAAACGCATGCAAATCTTAGCACGAACTAATATGTGATCGGAATCTAGAAAAGTTGACCAGTACGATCGGCAGTGCGTTACGCTTCCGCGCCATCTGTAGCTGATTGCTATGTGGTCAAGCTGGAAGCACTCTTGCGTCTGTGAGGGCGGGCGCCAGGTAGCAGTTTGTCTCCTCGAGTGCCAAAACTAGTGCTCGAAAAAACAAGCGATGATCAGAACAAACAGCAAGCAGTCTGTCTCCATTGTCTGATCGACTGTCACCGAGACCAAAACTACCCCCAAGGTGGTGCTCACTTGGTGGAAGGCGGCCAACTCGTGCGTTAAAGTCCCCGGCAAGAATGATTATATCCGTCCTTTTAGAGGAACACAGAAGTTCATATAGTTGTTGATAAAAGCTATCTTTAATTGCATCCGGGCAGCAATCTGTAGGGGCGTAGGCGGAGACGACAAACAAGGCACGCTTAACGTCTCGACGCCTGCTTACGTTACATGAACCTCTTAGTCTGACTGCACATAGTCAGCTGTTGACTGGGATCCAGTCAAGCAGAGCTGATTCAGCCCTGGCACTCAGTACAACCCCAACACCTTGACCAGTGGCGGCAGTTTCTGGGTCTCCGGAAGGCCGCAAGTAGTATTTCGCGTCAGAGTTTACCGGAGAGGCCATTCTGATGACAGCGCTAGAGTCTTGTAATCTGGTCTCTGAAAGGCAACAGATATCTTCCGAAAGCGTTTCAAGAGTACGGGCCAGACATGCTTGTCGTCCGATCTGCATCAAAGTTCGAACATTAAACGCTGCGAGGATGAATGTAGAACCAGGTCGAAGAAGAGCTGAAGCTTCGTGGAGTGAGAGGCAGTTGCGATCGGAGGACATTGAAAACCGGGAGTTTGGCTGTTACTTCCATCAGCTGCGAGACGTGGGTCTTTTGTGACGATGACCGTAAAAGACATCAGAGTACATGTGGGTGAAGGACGGGAGGTGGGGTGATCTGTGAGTGGAGGTTGAGCGGTTGAGTTAGGACAGAAGAGAGGCATAGCAGTAGCAGTAGTGTGCGGTGTAGTCCATGATTCGTCAGTGGGCGTGATACTACCCGGTTGCGCAGGCCGAAGTAGAGGGTTGTCTTAGGGGGGCCCTACCCCAAGCCTTTGATCAAAGATCTAACCTACAAGGCAGCAGGGCGATGTGAGGGTGTCGCAACCCGTTGGGAGCCGGTGACCAAATAGATGGTTCATACGCCTTTCGGTCCGTGAAGGACCATGGGCCCAACGCACCCTTAAAGTACAATGCCTCTCAGGGAAGGGCAAGGGGCAGTGACTTTAGTTAGTGGCGAGTCACATCCGCCACGTCGCAGTGTTGTTAAACGGACATTTGTGGCTTTTTATAGGGAGAAGCTTGCCACGCGAAAACCCACCACGTCCTGGAACACTGCCGCCGAACCATTCGCTGGAACGGGAAGAACCCGGACCACCCAGCTGGCACCACGAGCAGGTTGTATTATAGTGATAGGAGAGGCTGAATCAACTTCCATGTCAACATGCGTGTTATCTCGCGTGCAATAACTGTAACAGTACGAATGTCAGGCATGGGAAGTTTAGGCTCTAGACAATTGGAATAATAGTTAGACACAGTACCTCTGTTATCAATGGACAATACATCTTCCCATGAGTGTAACTGCTGACTCGAACCGCAATCTGTAGGATGCAAATGAGACATGCGTACTGAACGACAACAACCGGCAAAATGTCCACGCTTACCGCACTTCTTGCAATCCATTTCCAAGGCAGGGCACTTAGTAAAGTTGGCTTTATGCTGTAGGCTACCGCAGCGGAAGCATTTCTGTGGGGATTGGAATTCGCTTGGCATGTGATGGATCTTGGCAACCTCCTATATGTCTGCGTGGGTAGGGAAACATCGCATCTGTTTGGCCGTACATGTTTTGAGGCGAGCTAACTCCACAGCCTTATCCCAAGTCAATTCGGTATCGTCTTAGGAAAGTAGGCATTCCCGAATTCGATTATTGGTTAATTCCACTAATCAACTGCTGCACGAGCATGACGCTCTCTATTCTATTTTTCGGTATGGTGGGATGCTCACGGGGTCGTACACTGGGAATGAGGCGACCAACAAAACTGTCTCGAGTTTCCGATGGTTCCTGTGTAAGTCGGCCGAATTTGTGACTAGCCATGAAGAGGTTTGTACGCTGGCCCCATGACTTGTTCAGCACATCTAGTGCTTTCGTTAAGGTGTCTTGAGACTGAAGCTCCAAAACATCAAATTGACGTTATATCTCATCACCGAGTAAGTGTCTGAGGAGCTTCAGTTTCTGGTCTTCTGTGTAGTTAGAAACCGCAGGTAGTAGGTCAATATAGTTTGTAAACGATGTTTTCCACTGGGCCCATGCACTTTCGGTAGAACGTAAGGTGGGGTCAGACCAGTAAACTGTAGGAGGATGTAATTCCATGGCGTTGGTTCATAAGCCGCCACGCCAGTGTTGTATGCTAAAAGTCAAATATACGGACCGAAGTAAGTAGGTCGCTCCGGTAAACAAACGACAATAATCTGACAAGTGTCTAACTACGTGAGTACATTAAGGTGTCGCAAAAAGAAGGATGAACCAATAGGGAAGAAAAGAAATATGTATTTGTGTGGATATCTGGAGTTGTGTGCACGTGTCTGTCTAGACTAGCCGTCAAGCATGCTGACCGAATATATAACAATGTTCATCCGAGCAGACAGCCTTATCGCAGTGGTAACTTTAGACGATAGTTCAAAATCATCATTCTGTCATTCGGGCTTCACAAGCATTGATTGCAGTATCTCTCCAAGACTCATCCTATCAGGTGTTCGTGTTACTATCACGAGCGTGGTTCGCGCGACTCGACCTAGTTGTTACGGGTTTTCGACTGGTAACAACTCGGCTGCTAAGTAGAGACATAAACAACTTGTCGCTTTGGTAATGCATTTTAGGACAAAATGTATTCATCCATCTTCCTGTTAACCGCCATGCTCTCCTAGTTAGAATACCGTGAATGCGTCGCTGTAGCCCATACTGGAGACGACTTAGTTGTAAAACACTTATACTCATAACGTCATCATTCCCGCCTAAACGCCTGCCACCTATTTTCGAGTCGATTGGCGACTTTCACCTAAAGATAGTTTCTGTCACGTGGACCGAACGTTGTAACTTAGCTTATATATGCAGATTTTGAAACCAAATACCGCATCGATCATCTGGGTGTTAATGGAAATGCACCGCATATGTGCATATATTTTCAGTGATACTCTTTATTTTGCTTTCTGATGGTCTATTCTAAAGAAGGTCCACCTTGGTCGCTTGGTATTTTATACTTCATTTTTCCTCTTTCCGACTACACACGTTCCCGCTCATGTGTGCTAGGGAGGATGTACCGGAAACGCTTTCCTAGGTGCACCTTTTTCCCCAGAAGCTTTGTTGGTGGAGTACTAGCTGCTTGTGCACCTCCACGCATTATATCCAGCCATCCTACTTTATCTTCAGATTTGGGATTTGCGCACCTTACATTACAACACTTGTAAACTGCGAAACGCCCAAATGGAAATGCAACCAAAACCAGCAACCAACGGAGGTGACAGTAGCGGTTACCCGTTGAGTGGAAACCTTTCCTTCGATGTACCATCCAAGAAGCTCGATGCTACTGATGGGCCTGTGGAAGTTATCCCCATCTCTGGATCGGTATGGGTTCCCGATCGGTCCAAGGAATCTGGCGAATATCCCTACGCTGCTCGATTATTGCCAAGTCGCGCGGTTGTCGCTGCTGGATCTGGGTTCTACGAAGTTCGTGTGGTCGGCCGCGATACGCTCTTGGTATGTATTTTCTTAAAGCGTTTGTGCTGCTTGGTGGTATTTAATCTTTTCACCGAGATGTTGTTGAGCCTAGATCTTAAACAGTAACGTTTCGTGTAGTTCTTGCAGCATCTGGATTTTTTTCAGTGGGGCATTAATGAAAGAAGTATACGTTGCAAGCTTCGTCGGGGAGCTGGTTTCCAAACTCAGGCTGGATTTTAAACCTTGTTGACCAGACAACTACTCTAGCCATAGCGACTGTGATAAGTTTGCAGCATACTTTTGAACACATGGTGATTTCTATTAATACATCACTTTCTTCAACACCTTAGACCAGTTATTGTCTGTAGATCACACCTGACGTAAATGAACACCAACTTAGAGCTCGGTGGAGACTGATGGAACCATGGTTTTTAAAAAAATGTCAAGCGGCTTTGCATCCTTCTGTCGTTGTGGTGGATTCGCGTGTCAACCAATCTAGGTTATTAGCTTTATGACAGCCATACACAAACGGTGGATAGAAGTGGGTACGAAGCAACGATCCCGGTCAAACCCGGTTGACTAGCAACAACCTTCATGGTGTACGCGAAACGTAGCCTTGCCTGTTCACCCAGAGCTGCTTGTAATGATACCTCAACTGGACAACTTGGTGTTAGACAGAAGTGTGTCGTTTAAAAAGTAGCACCGTTTTCTACGATTTCGAACCAATAATGAATGCTGAGTGGCGAACTAATGCATTTTGTTGCTTGATACATAGGCTAACGATCCGCAGTCATTTGGTTGCGGTAGTCGTTCGTGTTATACGGTGAAGTGACTGCTTAATATTGTTGGTTTGGGCTTCGTCCCCCGCATTGTCTCTTGAGTTCCACATAACTTGGGCAACCGTGGAGCATTTCTAATGCACTTTTATGTTCCTGCACATCATCATCATTCTTCATAACGACGTATTCATCTTCTCAGTTCAATACTGATTGTTCTTACCTCACGGACGTTAACACTTAGCATTGCTTCTGTTGATGCGGCGCTCGTTCGTGCTTAAGCATTTTTTCCTACATTTTTCCAGCCATTGGAGGCGAGTTAGCCTGAGATTACCCTGGTTATTCGGGCTAGCGACTCACCGGGTTAAAATTGGTGTTTACGACAGGTCTGTGATGCGACACCAATGTAGTTAACCTGAGTCGCATGTGTGCTGCTTGCATCTGGTTCTTCTTGGGGCTGGCTCAAGTGATCTTCGGAATAAAGTATCCGAACATGCATTTGCATACATATCTTTCTCAGTAGATTTAATTCTCCTCTATTATAAATATATTTTGTCTCTGTTGTGCCTTCTATTTCATCTAGCCTATCGTTCGTGTTCCCGTGGACTCCGTGGTGCAAAGCATGGACGCCATCTTGGAAGGACGTTACATTGGAGTGGGCTGCGCCAGTGGTACTGTCTCGCTCATTGGATTGGCTTAATTACCTCGAACCTGTGATGCTTCAACTGTGATATGGAATCCGCACCGGGGGACACATTACCCAAGTGTGATGGAACTCAAGAAAGGCGTTTTCTTCTTTTATCTAAAGCTTTATCGAAACTAATTTGATCCAACTTGTAGGATTACCAACTTGTCCTTGTGATGCTAAGCTGTACACTGATAGCTATCAGGCATGCCTGAGTGTATGAGGTTTCCTCACATCGACAGATAAACTACTTCTCTAAAATGTCATCATTTGCATTACACTGGCCAATGCATCACGGACTGTTTTACTGTGAGAGGCTTGATCTTGTATGTGGAAGCTTGAGTGAGTTCTTCCAAATCTGTTGTAATGTTGTTGTCGTCGTCCGTATTTCTACCTAGTGCTTCATTCTCAACGGAAAACACAGAAGTTAACGCGGTGCTGATCAAGTTTTTCTTCGACGATAAGATTAGGAATACAGATTAAACACGTTTTTATATGGACGTCGGTATCCTCCAATTGTCTTCACCTTGGCCTTGACATCAGCTTTTGCTCTGATCGCCGGTTGCTTCTCACGGTATACCACAGAACCAACTTGGCCAACCTTGGTTTGCCGTCTGTAGCAATCCTGTACCACGCTTCGAAGCTCTTCATAGATGTTCTTTTAGCGCTACAACCGAACAGAACCCAGGCTGTCTCCTCATCAATAAGGGTTATTGCGGCCGGCGCAATGCTTGTAGAGTGCGCACGGTCCCTTATAGTTTCACATCTGAGCTGGTCATACCAACAGGCCTTAATTTTTCACACTTATTTTGTTCTTAGTCGCCCTCTTTAGGCGGAAACGACCGAGCTATGCTTCAACTTCAAGTGTGAGGTACGGTCATTGCAACCAAGCTATAGACCTCCGCGAGCATCACTTGTTACATTGGTTATGCGCATGAATCCGTTTTGAAGTGTCTGGGTGGCGACACAATCTCAATCCGGACAGTAAGCTACTTCGATGGCACTTTTTATCATTGGTACCGTATTTGGAAGTACTAAAGGTGTGTGTGCGTGTGTGTGTATGTGTGCATGTTTCTCCTAGGTAACTCAACTCCTCCTTCGTACTTACTGTCACAATCCACACACGAAACGCATACATAGTGCCGAACGCCCACTGCCAATTGCCCATGCATTGAGAATTGAACTTTGTGGGATGACATTGTCGTTTCGTGCATGCTCGTCAACCACATACAAGCAACTAACAACGGATGCAAAACAATGTCATATGAAATCAAATATTGATCGCGTTTTTCGTTTGGTGCATTGCACGCTACCACGGTAGGCCAAATCTCCCTGTCTGCTGTTTTTGGACACGCAGTGGTGGGCGCTGTCGATCGATCACATTGGCCTCGAGTAGCTTGAGCATATGAGGTCTTTGCGTATGAGGACTGTGAATGATTCATCCGGGTTCACTTGGTGATCGTTAATCACCAAATGCCTCGTAATTGCGGAGGCAACTGTGCTTCTCAGTTCACCACCTGCGATCATCGCATGTTCCATCTGCTCGCGGAGCCCCTTTGGAACGTGTTCATTGATTCGGACACCCTGGTCTCGAGGGTGTTCGAATCAATGAACAGCATAGAATGGAAGCCCTCATTTGAGTTCTGAGTCTTTCTAGCCAAGCATCTTGTCAGCAACTAGGGCTCTCCAAATCGCTTGTTGATGAAGACAGCTTGGGAAATGTCACTTGGCAGAGGTCCCGATTTTGTTTGTTTACTTCGGCACTTTTAAAGAAGTAGGATGACTCCTTTTTTCGGTACATCTATCATGAAGTTGGTCTTAATCTCTGAGGAATATGTGAAGAAAGATCCTCAAATAAGATTCTTCATTACAATGAGGTCGCTAGCATTGTCTTTTATTGCACAACTGCAATAATTTCTTATTTGTAGATGTGCTGATCTGTCAACTTTTCCGACACCTCAAATTAGTGATAAGGATTTAATCAAAAAGATCTGTTCGCTTAAAGCATCATTTTCTTACTTTTCTTACTGAACTCGATGTAATAAATGGGTATTCTTCATTGGTTTAAATGAGCAACTTTCACTTACCTGGCCTTCAAAAGAGACGCATTGAATTGTAGAAAACATGCCTCCAAGTGACTGAGGACAAACAAGCATGGTTACTGCAGTACTACTCGAAACATCAGGTTCAATGTTCTCCACGACATTTTAACCCTACAATTTTTGTGATCGGCTTCCATCACATTGTCTCTTTGAAATGCCTTCACTTTTTTACCGGTGTGATTTCATTGTGGCTATCGCCGGCGTCATAAGTTGTTGCGCTTGACGGATCAAGTACTTCAACCACAAGTGGCAGTGTTTGTTGGTTTGGAGGTGTTCCGGGGTTGCTCTTCCCGACACCGACACTGGTTTGACTTCCTGTTTCCCTTTCTCCTCTTCTCAAACTGGTCTTTGGTTGCACATTTTGCCCTCCCTTTAGAAAATACACTTACAATTCCGTAAAACAATCACTGTGCATAATCGAATAGACGACACAGTAAACAACGCAATTACTCAGTCAATGGGAAGGCTCATTGCAAATGAGTGCCCACTGCTCTGACGGTTGTAACATTCTCATTTATGAGAAGGTGTTTCAGGTGACACTGTTATCCCTGTTCTTGTCGCTATCACGTTTTTTGCTCACGATTATGACATGGGTAACTAGTCAAGATCGTGACCTTTCCAACAATACCCAATATTGCGGACTCTGGGCAAAGGAAAGTGCGACCTAGATATGGTACATAAGTAGTCAACCCGAAATCTGTTACAGTTCAACGTGGACAAATGTAAGGTACTATCCATACGACACCAGCGTACCTATGCTATAAACTAGGAACGCAGCGATCATCCGTCGAACACGATCCTGGCATGCTTGTTCAAGATAACGGGTTGTTCCAAGCAATTCGCAAAGGCATCGAAAACTGGTAACCAGCACGTCGGCTTGCTACGACGGGCGTTCCAACGAATAGACACCTATATTTTCAGACATACTGAACGCGTATGTTCACCCTCATGTCGAATACGCAATCCAAGTCTGGCATCCATGGTTGAAGCACAATCTTACAGGGCTTGTAAACCAGTGCTTCTCAACCCGTATAAAATCATAGTTCATTGTCGAAATTCCAGTGCTTCAGAGCTTCTCAAACTTTTCTGTTCCAACTACCCACTAAGTTCAGTAAAATCTAATTCAATAAAGTTAATATGGTTGACATGACAGCGATACTACTGACACTTTATGAGACCACAATTCAAACCTAACTCAAAGACGTTTCAAAAACGATGTTAGTTTAATTTTTATAGCACGCACCATCTTTAGAATTTGTGGAATGACGCTGGGGCGTACCCGTACGCACGAATTTTAACTGCACAAATACTGGAGTGCAACGTCAGTGTCTTACATTCTTTGTCGTGGTATCCCCTTCAAAGCCCTTAGAGCCATTTGCGGTTGAGCACCAAGCGTTAGCGTGCGCCAGTAAGTAATAACTAAACAATAAGTAAGTAAATATAACGGTATATTTCTCGACGGGCAGGATAAGTTCCCTTCTGTGGAACGATCATTTGTACAGCGAGATTCTCAACGCCATTTATTAACGTTATTCAATATGGATCAGTAATGCAATGGTTTGCGGAAAGCTAGTTCTGTCATATATATTCGGAGCCATATCCTATGAGTGTACTTATAGATTACTGAAGGCCGAACAGCTTCAGCACATTTCGCATACAAAGCAAAATTCTTTTAGTTGAGATCCGAATGTAGACAAACACTTGCTTTCCCATAATTGCAACGGCAATTTATTTCACAAATTGTCATACCAGGAAGAAACTTAAACAAAAAGTTTGCTTGGATTTCTGTAAGGCTAGAAGACACTTTCCATTGTAAGTGGGATAGGTTGAGCCATTTTGTAAAGCGACAGACGTTCTGGTTGAAAAGACTAGCAAAACTATTTGACTGTAGAGAAGACTGAGGTTGCTGTTTAGTCGTCGAAGCCAGAGTGGGTCAAGCTGGAAGTGAACACATCGTTCTTCCTAGGTAAGCGCTCATAAAATTTGCTAGCTCGTCGACGAATTTTAAGTAATCTAAAAGCTGCCATTTCCAACTGTTGTTGGGGTAACAATTCGAAGCCTAACATTACCATCACGCTTACAGCGAAACACGGTGATGCATAAAGTTCACCGACTATCACGGACTAGTTGCAAATGCGAATATTCAGTAGCACAGTTTGCCGCATGAGATGTTTATTCCAAAAGTACAATGTCTCGCAGATAACGTAGCGTTCGATCGCTTTCAAGTCGATCTGCAATCCCTAATTCCTGGTGCGTTTCAACGACGGAAAACGAATTTTTATGGTAATGTTGCTGTTTATGTCACAAATCTTAAGCACGGGCTTTTCAATGCGAAGCTATAGCCTTGTTTGAGTGGTCCAAACTGTTTCGTAATGAAGCCGCACTGAGCTATGGCGCAAAGTTCTTCAGAAGATAGGCACAAAAGCACATCTAAAGTTGGAATCTTTCCGTACCCAAAATTTCCTATGTACCCGCTGGAGCACTGTGCTGCAGCTCTTTTCTTTTGGGGTAAATCGATGGCAGTGATCAAATACTAGCCAATTGATTTGACGATAACGACGAAATCCTTGCTGGCTCAGGCCTCAGTTGATGTCTACCTTTACGGACTCAGGCCTATTATCGCCCTTGAAGTTGTTGCGAACGTGCCCCACTTACTGTCTGCGTTGCATGTCACTTGATAGAGATTCCGTTTGCAAATGTGCCTAAGACTCAATCGAACGTTAGAAAAAAGACAAATGTCAAACACAAGCGGGTTAGAAAAATGGTGTATTTCTTACTATGAACTAAATCGATTAATTGTTACCAGGGCTGAGGGTTTTGTTTATATTTAGAACATATCGGTTTCGAGAAACCAGTAGCCTCACTGATCGATCTCTCACTTTGTTCTATGCCTCTATGCATCGACAGAGTGGTGAGGCATAAGGAAATTTAATCTCACCCATATGATCATCATAATACTGGGAGACTCGTTGCATGCCAGACCTCATGGTTAACTTGGCAACCGGGCTCTACCTTCAGAGATGCGTTTCTTATTATCGACCCGCTGACCCAAAAGTTTTCTCCCCGTGTACAAAAATCAGGATGGACTCAGTGATAACTGTGGTGATCGCAGATGATGAAGACACTCCATCTAGACACACTTGTTAGCTTCTAAACCAGACAGGGGGCGGGTAGTTCAGTGGACTTGTCGCTATGATAATCACCATAGCAAGGTGTATTTTCCATCGGACATGCATTTTGACAATCGGACTATTCGGTATATGACATTTTATTTATGGTCCCAACGTGGTGCTGCATCGCTTCTGGTTACACCTTCAGCTAGTTTGACTCAGAGATAAAACCTTTCCTTACTTCCGGATAAAATTTAATCGGTTTACAAGTGAGAAGGATATTTCTTCCCATTTCAGTTTAAA